ATGGAGGTGCAGGTTTATGAGCTCTCAACACATCTCACATAATCATCAATACACATAAACAATCTACCACTCACCTGGTATTTACCTGATCGTCCACAACGTCAAATCACATTTATGCATACCATACAAATTCATAGTCTAAGCATAAATCAATAGGCATGGCATTTCAAAACATATTTTCATTTAAAACACATTTTATGGGAAAAATACAAAGTTTATAAGTATATACTGAAAACCAAAAGCCCACTCACTGGTATGTGGAAGGGTCGTAGTCCCCAAGTCTTGCTTGATTGTGCTCGTCATCGGGATATATCTCACCTATATGCGAAACAATTATATAAATGTTATTTTAGAGCACATAAACAAAAGTATGTAATAACTTCTCATACATTGCTAGACACGCTGCCCACGCACAGGCACGTGCCTGGTACACTGACGGATTCCCTAACGGCGTTAGGGAATATTTCGTTAAATAAAAGCATATACCGTTATAGATACCTGACGCCGTTAGAATATTCCGTCAAAGTTGACGAAATATTTGCCTTCTTCTCTAACGAGTCACCGAATTCCGTCGCCGTCTGTTATCGCCTGTAACTGTAAAATCTTTAAACTTTAATATCTCTTCCATTTCTCAACCAAATTCGATGAAATTTTCACCAAAACGAAGCTTACAACGAGTAGAACACATTTTTACCACTTTGGGGACCTAAAAACAACTGAAACTTGCCAGAAAAACTCGCGGAAACCGGTCAAACCCTACAACTATATAAACCTGAGTGTTCTTACATCAAAAACCTTCCAAAATTCTTCCAAAGTGCTAGAAAAGCAAGAATCGAACCTTCTTAAGTCTCAAAACTACTTGAAACCTTCGCGATCACGTCGAGTGAACAGTGCACCTCACCAGGGGTTTTTGGTTCTCGGGTTCTCGAAGGTCTCACGTCCAACCAAGGATATGAATCGACTCCTGGGCTTGCAAAGAACATAAAAATCACCTTCACAGTCTCGATTCATGCCTGCAAAGGTAGGTTTGAAATCTGTCCGTACAATTGTACGAAAATGGAAAGAAGTCCGAGAGGGAAGGAGAGAGAGAAAAGGGTCAATAAGATTGGTTGGTGTGTGTGTGGTCCTAGTTGGTCACCAAACAAAAACAAACAAAATCTTAAGTTCCAATTGGGTCCAAATCTTAGTCTATTTACACATACACAACTCAATGCTCAAGGGTAAAACCGTCATTTCCACGCTATCGAGAAAATATTTCGGGACGGGCTGTCATAGCTACTCCATCAAGATGATTCTTAAAATTGAAAATCCATCAATGTAGTCATTGAAATTGGGTGTTGCAAATCAATGTGGTTTTTCTATCATAATTCTGTAAAAAAAAAAATTATGTGTTGTTGTGGCACACATATAGGTCTCACGAATTTAATTAAATATTATTATGTGAATTTAAAATATTTAAAAAATAATAAAAAAATTATTTAAATTTAATTAAGTATTATTATGTGAATTAAAAATATTTAAATAATAAAAAAAATTATTTAAAATTAATTAAATATGATTATGTGAATTAAAAATATTTAAATAATAAAAAACAATTTTTATTTTTTATAATAAAAAACTGAAAGAAAAAAAAAGGAAGAATCACCACCCAATCAATAAGAAAATGGAGAGCTTAAAAGCAGCTTCAACAAACCCAGTCGTCCTTCTATTTCAGGTCTCTCTCTCTTTCTCTCCTCTGCTTACTGTTTATGCTTTTTCTTCTTATGGGTTTTTGGTTTAATGGCGTAAGAGAAATAGGTTGTGGGAAAAAAAACATAAAGTCTTGAAATTTATGGAAGTGTACAGATTTTCAGCAGTAAAAAATAACCCAGTTGCTCTGTTTTTTTATGCGGTATGAAACCAGGGGAGACGACAATGACTGGAACCAAACACGTTTTGCAGATCTTGGAGAGCTTGAACAGTCTGTAAGTTAATTCTTTAGTTTATATACATATATAACGACTGACTCATATACCAATCTAACCACTAACCTGAGGAAGACGTCGTCTCAGAAATAGGGTAAAGAACTGAGGCTCTTCTGTGTCTCTGCACTGTCCGGAAGCAAGGCTCACTCAATGGGGCTTGAGGATTTCTGTATACTTGCAGGTATTTAGTGAGAGCACAGGGACCTCAGTTATATACTATAGGTGATGGTCTTTGATTAGGAGTCCTCCCATTAAGTAAACCCTATCAAAGATGAACTTTATCACCGAAGATTACTTGTGCATAAATCAGCTAGAAGAGTTCTAGTTTATCTAAGAATGTTTCTGACTTGTATACCTAAGTAATACAACTCCTTATAAGTCTGCCACATGTGATAAAGTTAATCTCCTTATCGTCCCAAAAGACTTTGTACAAATCACAAAGTGTTTGCTCTCAAATAGAACTTACATTCTCCCACTAGAGCAAATACTTTGTAAAGTTGTATAATCATACTGGAGTTGGGAAGGATCTGAATTGGCCATGAGATTAACTTTCGACACTTCTTAGTTTTCCAGTCTTCGTCATTGTTAAGCATTCATGAGAATTATAGGGCAACACACTCATTACACTGAAGAGTACCGTCCCCATAATTACTTGCAGTAAAGCTTATCAACACATAAGATTCCAACAAGATATATAGCATGCAAGACACAACCGAGCATGTATTAATTATGTCTAACATTTGGTCCCTTTCAGAATCAAAATGATCCATGTGCTTCTATATAAAGCCCTCAGGTTGTCCGACACTGTATAATGAATAAAAATCATAAACAGCATGCAAAATATTCATGCATTATCATAGCTAAAAAAACTGAACCCTTTAAGGAAACTTGAACAACCTTTCAGCTTTATTCTTTATTAGCTAAGAAAACTTCATTGTTAATACTCAAACTTATCCTTCATAACATAAATTGCTATTGAATGAAAACTAGCATAAAAGTTGAAACCTGTTGCATAGCTCCCACTAATTCGCTGCATCAAAACCAGCCAAGACTCCCATGCTAGTGACATGCTTCTTGAAAACGATGGTGGGAACTGCTTTATTTAACGGATCAGCGATCATGGATCCAGTTTCCAAATAATCAACCTTAACTAAACCGGCCATCACCTTCTCTCGAGCAATGAGATATTTTATATCCAAATTCCTTGTTGCATTAGATCTCTTATTATTTTTAGTAAAGAATATGGCTGCATTATTATCACAGAAAATCTGTATAGGTCTCGATATAGAGTCCACTACTTGAAGCCCAACTATGAAATTCTTCAACCAAACAGCTTGATTCACTGTTTCACAGACTGATAAATACTCTGCAACCATTGTTGACGCTGCCACAGTTCCTTGTTTGACAGACTTCCAAGAAGAAACCGCACCACATGCCATTAAGAAAACATAACCTGTAGTTGACTTCATATCATCTGGACAACCGGCAAAATCAGAATCACTATACCCTTCCAAAACCAAACTCTCGGTTCTTTTATACACCAACATATGGTCCTTGGTTCTCTGAAGGTATCTCAAAACTCTTTTGGCAGCATTCCAGTGAGCTTCACCTGCATTGGATTGAAACCTCCCAAGCACGGAAATGGTGAAAGCCAAGTCAGGCCTTGTGCACACCTGTGCATACATTAAACTTCCCACCAGGGAGGCGTATGGTTTGTCGTCCATAGCCTTCCTCTCTAAGTCTGTTTGTGGACACTGCTGCTTACTCAATTTATCACCCTTCGATATAGGCATCTCAGTAGTTCCACACGAAGACATATTAAACCTTCTTAACATTTTCTCTATGTATGCTTTCTGTGACAAGCCTAGCAAACCTCTCCTTCTATCCCTTTTGATCTCAATGCCCAAAACATATGTCGCTTCTCCCATGTCTTTCATTTCAAAATGCTTTTGCAAAAAAGTTTTTGTATCATCCAACAAACTGTGAGAATTCGTGGCAAGTAATATATCATCCACATAGAGAACTAGGATGATAAAGTTGCTACCACTGAACTTCAGATAAATGCAATTGTCTGAAGGATTCTCGGTGAAGCCATGTTCTTTCACAATTCTATGAAATTTCAAGTACCACTGCCGTGATGCTTGCTTCAATCCATATATGGATTTGTTGAGTTTGCACACTAGGTTTCTTCCTTCTCCCTCCTTGAAACCTTCTGGTTGACGCATGTAAATGCATTCTTCCAGGTCCCCATTCAAGAACGCCGTTTTTACATCCATTTGATGTAAAATCAAATCAAAATGAGCCACCATAGACATAATAACCCTAAACGCATCCTTTGTCGACACGGGGTTGAATGTTTCTTTGTAGTCTACACCCTCCTTTTGCGTGAAGCCTTTCGCAACAAGCCAGGCTTTGTGCCTTTCTATGTTTCCGTTTGAATCCTTTTTTGTTTTGAAAACCCATTTGCATCCTATGGGTTTTGATCCTTCTGCCTGTTCCACTAGATCCCACACTTGATTGTTTGCCATCGAACTCAGTTCACTCTTCATGGCTTCTATCCATTTATCAGCATCTGGTCCTGCAATTGCTTCTTTGTAACTCATCGGATCATTAAACTCTGAAAGATCAGTGTCAACCTGTGTCAAATATACGAAATCATTTAGGGTTGTAGGTTTTCTAACCCTAGATGACCTTCTTATATTTGCAGCACCCGCAGCCGTGATGTTGTCTTCATGTGCATGGTGTTGTTGTTGTTGATTACCTGTCTCAGTTTTTGGTGATTCCCTATACTTTGCCTCAATGGACTTCAAAAAATCTTTTGCATTTGCTTCATCAGGAAAGCCACCTCTCACCACATCTGTCATGCTCCTTTTGATGATAAATAGGGCAATTCTGTTGGATTTGTGCCATTTTGCACACTAGGTTTCTTCCTTCTCCCTCCTTGAAACCTTCTGGTTGACGCATGTAAATGCATTCTTCCAGGTCCCCATTCAAGAACGCCGTTTTTACATCCATTTGATGTAAAATCAAATCAAAATGAGCCACCATAGACATAATAACCCTAAACGCATCCTTTGTCGACACGGGGCTGAATGTTTCTTTGTAGTCTACACCCTCCTTTTGCGTGAAGCCTTTCGCAACAAGCCTGGCTTTGTGCCTTTCTATGTTTCAGTGAATCCCAGCTCTTTGAATCTCAATACAGTTGAGCCTCTTACTGGTGTCAACTACAGAAAGTGGAAACAAGATCTCGAAATCGTTTTGGGAGTTATGGACTGGGATTTGGCACTGAGAACTGAAGAACCTCCGGCACTCACTGATGACAGCACTGCAAATCAGAAATCCAAGTATGAAAAATGGCACAAATCCAACAGAATTGCCCTATTGATCATCAAAAGGAGCATGACAGATGTGGTGAGAGGTGGCTTTCCTGATGAAGCAAATGCAAAAGATTTTTTGAAGTCCATTGAGGCAAAGTATAGGGAATCACCAAAAACTGAGACAGGTAATCTCATGAATGCTCTCACTACCATGAGATATGATGGGGTTCAAAGTGTGCGAGAATACATATTGAAAATGGTGGACGTTGCTGGAAAACTCAATGCACTCGAGGTACCAATTTCTGATACTTTTCTGGTACATGTCATTATGAATTCTCTGCCTGAAAGTTATACACAACTCAAAGTTTATTATAATGGTCTACGTGAGAAATGGGATGTGAATGAATTGATAGCTATTTGTGTGAGTGAAGAAGAAAGGATGAAGAAAGAAAGGTTTGAGAAAGAGAGAATTGAGTCTGTGAACCTTGTCCAAAGTGTCACTAGGGCCACTAAATCTCATATACCATGTAAGTTAATTCTTTAGTTTATATACATATATAACGACTGACTCATATACCAATCTAACCACTAACCTGAGGAAGACATCGTCTCAGAAATAGGGTAAAGAACTGAGGCTCTTCTGTGTCTCTGCACTGTCCGGAAGCAAGGCTCACTCAATGGGGCTTGAGGATTTCTGTATACTTGCAGGTATTTAGTGAGAGCACAGGGACCTCAGTTATATACTATAGGTGATGGTCTTTGATTAGGAGTCCTCCCATTAAGTAAACCCTATCAAAGATGAACTTTATCACCGAAGATTACTTGTGCATAAATCAGCTAGAAGAGTTCTAGTTTATCTAAGAATGTTTCTGACTTGTATACCTAAGTAATACAACTCCTTATAAGTCTGCCACATGTGATAAAGTTAATCTCCTTATCGTCCCAAAAGACTTTGTACAAATCACAAAGTGTTTGCTCTCAAATAGAACTTACACAGTCTGCTACTACCTTCCCTCACGACAGCCGCAAGTTCGACGGTGGCACTCTGAAGATACCCAGAACTTCGTGGGAGAGTGGGAGGGGGCGGGATGGGGGTTGTAGTGGGAGGGTGGGAAGGCAAGAAGATGATGAACAGCGTTCAATCATCTTCATCTTCATTTTTTATTTTTTTTATTTTTTAAGTTTTTAATTATAAAAAATAAATTTTGTTTTTTATTATTTAAATATTTTTATTCACAAAATAATATTTAATTAAATTGGTGGGATCCATTTATGTGCCACATTAGCAATTAACAGAATTTTTGACGAAATTGTAACGGAATGATCACATTGATTTGCAACAGCTATTTTCAAGGACTACATTGATTGATTTTCAATTTTAGAGACCATTTTAATTGGGTGGGTTAATTTCAGGGATCATTTGTGATAAAAAAAACCTTATTAATTTATCAAACATTCATTTGTCGAAATTTGCTGTAGATTTTGATTGGCTGGACGTTCTTAATTTGAAACACTATTTTCTTTTCGCTCCCTTTGGTTGCTCTTCATTTTTAAAATTTTAGCAGGTTATTCGGATCTCCATACTGGATATATTAACTGTTGTTTATCTCTATCAAACTATACTCTCGGATTTAGAGTTTTGGATAATTTTGATGCAGGACACTCTTTTTCTTTTGTCTTGATTGAAATCCTGACAAAGTTTTATCGAAGCTTGAATAAAGCACCCTATTACAATACTCAGAGACCTCGTTTGTTTAACCTCCTTAGCTAGGACTGGACTAGCTAGGACTAATAACCAATGTTTGGTATAGCAAGGGACTAAGTTAAATGGGATTAGCCCAGAATCGTGTGGACTCTGGACCTCACTAAGTAGCCTAAATTAGTCCTCCGCAAAAGCAAGGTATTGCTAAGAACCTCACTACGATGCCTCTTTCGCGTGAATTGGTGAGAGCCAAGTATTATTCTTCATCAAAGTCATCGATCATTGAGTGAGCTTCATCCAGAACAAGTATCCCCTCTCTCTCTATTGGATTGATATGAGAATTGGGTGCTTCGAAAAGAATGCTGGAAGAAGAGGAAACATATTTGCATTTCGTAGTTGCTAAATCGTGGCTGGAGGAGGAGGGTGGGCGTCGTGGTTTGCTTTGGATCTGCAGATCGCTAGGAGAAAACAGGTTTGCAACTATTTGTTTTCATAATTGGTATGATGATGGGATTAGCAAGGCTATGGCAGATGAAGAGAGATGAAGAGAGATGGATAGGCATGAAGAAGGGAAATTGATGAACTTAATTATTATTTTTGTTGTTATTATATATTAGAATTACCATGATTATCTTGAAGTTCATAAATTTAAAAAGTAAAAGAAAAAAGAATTTGGAGGAGATTTAAATTTAATTATTTAGATCAGAATGTGAAATTTAGTTTTTATAATTAAATTTAAAAAATTAAATTTTAGTCATAATCCAACAATGCACCAAATGCTTCACAATTTTAGTACTGCTTAGTCCAAGTTAAGCCAGTCTCGTTTAGTCCATGAAGCTAGTCCAATATGAGCTATTCCGGTGCAACAAACGCACCTAGAGTGAATAATAAGAGAAGAAACAAACAAAATTATACGCTCCATAAAGCAATTCAAACAATTGGGTAAACCTTATAATTACTTTAAATTGAATGTATTTTTCGCGTGCAGCAAGGCATCAAAACCCAATGGCACAATGCCTAAATTGATTCGGTTTTTTTGGACCAGCTCTCATAACATGAATCCACGAAGCCTTCCACATAGCGCGCATCTACAATTTCAAGCAATAAAATTTACAGACAACTGCAAATAAAACTAGGGAGGTTTAATGAAAAGTCCGCGGTACTGTTTACTTTTACGAAAAACTACATTTTTACATTAAAAAGTCAAACATGTTACTATTCACTCAACCCTTTATTTTGTCATTATCGTTAAAACTCAAAGTTTTCAAGTCTTTTTCATTAATTTCCTATAAAACTAACCAAAATACAAGAATTTAATGAGCTCGTTTAAAGTTAGTTGTGCTATTCCCCATATAACTAATTGGTTTTATGGTGGAACCTTAACTTGTTCAATCCCTACCCTCATCTTCCTCAACAAAGAACTCATGGCAAATTTTAAAGTTGGTGCCGCCTTCAAATACCAAAGGAGAAAATGTAGAGTTTGTAAATGTGCAACGTATGTTCGGTATCAGAGACATTTATAAGATTCTGGCTACAGTCGAGCCGGATCAAAGACAAGCAACAGCTGAGACTAATACTCTTTCAAGGGAATACATGGAGGGATAATCCTTTGGTTGGTTGCCTTGGTGTTACCGGATTATTCCTTCGAGAACAAATAGATTTCTATGAGAAAGAACTTGAGATTACAAATCGATATCTAGCAATTTACAAGGAATTAAAACAGATGCTCGATTTGCAGAAAATACTGTTAAAACCAATCAAATGTTACTTATTTAATATATATATATATATATATATATATATATATATATATATAATTTGCACAGTTTATTACAAATAGCAAATTCAACAAAGATGTAATATATCAAAATGTTAACACTTAACAAAATTGCATGTAAATCACAAATAACTGACTTGATCGTTGCAGATAGAGGCTTGCAGAGCAATCTCCTAAGACAGAAATACGCCCCTACACCAGTGCAGTAGTTCAAAGAACGTCTATCTTGCAGGATACAACTATCTAATCCAAATTCTTGCACACGAACTTGGATTCTTGACGAATTGGTAGTGTTGTTCTCTGTAAGGAGTAAAAGGAGCGATTGGATTGATCTGTCTTTCGTTTCTGAGCGGACTGCCATATATATATAATGGCTTAACTTGAACAAACGCAACCGTTCGTCCTTATCAGTTACAAAACTGACGTAACTGTTCCCTTAGTTTTATCCTTTCGGAAAAACTGAATCCAAAAATTCAAAACGAAAAAATAAAACTTGTGTTTTTTCGTCAATCCGAGCCCAAGGCCCATCTTTGACATTTAATATATACATCCAAACCTCCATTTGTAAGGTCCAAGATCCATAGCTTTGGCCCAATTCTTTTCAAACCATAAAGGAGGGAAAATACTTATAAAGAGGACTTTAGAAATATGTTTGGGCGATGTGGGACTGAGTCCCACTCACAAGTTCCAACAATACCCCACATTTCCTATTCAAACTCGAACAATACCCCACATTTGAATAGAAAATAAGATACTAACTAAATCAGTAACATCGTTCCAGAGAACTGAGAGGTAATATGCATCGGGATAGGTGTCTTTTGGACTTGAACCTTCTCTAGTGAGTACTTATCGGATTTACCTAATGAAGCAGTGAATTTAATATCTTGAACTGATCATTGTTAGTAGTAAATCAAAACAAGAAGTATCACACATATCACATCTTGACACACGTCAATTCATACGGTTGTGTTCATTTTGGTCCTGAACATATCCTGATTTCATGAGACATTTAGAGAATTGTAGCCATATCAAATCTCAAAGATGCGACCCCACATCAATCTCATATAGGTAATGCTAACTAAGAATAGCATGTTCTATTCATCTCAACTATAAGATATTAGCATTATTAAGAATAATGATTCACCCTTTACGTCTTACAGGTAACACATTGTTTGCCATCATAGGAATAAGTAAGGATTGTGTGTTTCTTACCTTGAGTTTTCCTCAACTAGTTTGCCTATTGAACCTAGACCATTGGATCTCCAATTACCCAAGGCCCATCTTTGACATTTAATATATACACCCAAACCTCCATTTGTAAGGTCCATGATCCATAGCTTTGGCCAAATTCTTTTCAAACCATAAAGGAGGGAAAAGACTTATAAAGAGGACTTTAGAAATATGTTTGGGCGATGTGGGACTGAGTCCCACTCACAAGTTCCAACAAATACAACCAACACAAGTAGCACCGGTCATCCCTAATCAAGTAAGCCATATGATATTAATTTTTAATGATTCGGTCTCCTTATTTTTTTACTGAATTATTGTTAATTGATCTATATTTTTGGAATCAACAACATATATATATAGACTAAAATAATTGATTTATTATTACTTATACCGTGAAGTTAGTTCCCTCGGATCACGGTGTAGTAGACATCAAAATTTCGAAAGTTCGTCTTCCACATGGCTGACATGAAAAAGTATGAAGAAGGGTACACTGAAACTTGCATGGTTGCATGAGGCAGATGTCGAAGGCCTTCTCTTATTCGTATTCCAAACTCAACGTGCAGATGTACCCTTCTTTATACTTTTTTTTCACCTCAGTCATGTGTAAACACAAAACTTCCGAAATTTCGATGTCTGCACTGTGACCCAAAGACCTAAATTTCACATCAATTATTTTAGTCTCTCTATATATATATATGTTGTGGTTTGAAAAATATAGATCAACTAACAATAATTCAATAAAAAATAAATAAGAAGACTGATTTAATAAAAATTAAAATCATATGCCTTACTTGATCAGGGACAATCGGTGCTCCTTGTGTTGATTGTATTTTCT